TCCTAAAAAGAGTGGGGGCCATTTTCTTCGGCCAGCGGCCATTTTGAAACCCAACGATCAGCTGTTTGCTGATTGTCGTAAAGCGAAAATCAGTTCCCAAAACAGGAAGCCGATCATCGCACAGTGAAAAAACCCCATTTAAACCATCATTTTGCAATCACAAAAGCGATCGCAAAAAGGTCAACGTTAAGTGGATTCATCGTTAAATGGGGTAATCATCCAGAGGGGCACAACTATATATGATTTCTAATACTGACTGTTTGGAAATCTCCTGAGAAAGTATGGAGAGTTGCCAATTCAAATACTCAGTCTTCTAACTCTTTATCCCAGTTTACATAAAGAAACACATTTCTTTCTGTGCCAAACAGTATGGCTGTAGGTGCTGAGTGCCTATAGCTCAATGGAGGTGTTCCTAACTATGCCATGATGAATGGACCCATGAAAGGAAGGAGGCCTAAATCCATTTGGTAGTCCCAGCTGGAGTAAATCAGCTGTTGAAAGCTGAATTCACACCTACATAAATCCCACTGATTCTATGGGTCTGTTCTATCTGGGACTACTAATTGTATCCAGGCAGAAGAGAATATACACTGCCTAGTCTAGAAGAAAAATCAGGCCCTTTGCTGCCTCAACAGTATATCTCCTCTCACATGGTTGACTCTGGTCCTGTTTCCGATGCTATTATACTGCTTTCTATCCCCCTTTATAATGTGTTACCCAAAAAGTATTCAGTCTGCAGCCAAAAACTTTTCTGCATGTGTATTTCATTTTCATATGAGACCCAATGATTGATCTATGAGGGACCCGTAAATAGAACGCACCACAGCAGAAGACCAAGTAAATGACCTAGCTCAAGTCTTTGAAGTGGTGGCATGAGGAGAAAATGCAGTGCTACAAAGTCATATTTTCATTACTCTACAAAACCTCTGCACATTTGGAAATAAAGCAGGCAAAAGATGCTGAGATTTTGTCCTCTAGAACAGTGTTACTCTACCTTGGGCCTCCAGATGTTCTTGGACTTCAAATACCAGAAATCCTGGCCAGCAGAGGTGGTGGTGAAGGCTTCTGGGAGTAGTAGTCCAAGAACATCTGGAGGCCCAAGTTTGGGGAACACTGCTGTAGAAGGGAGCAAAACACGGTAGGGAACAAAAGCAATGTATAAGTACCTAAGGACTGGTTCTGCAAACTTTTCCATGAAGAATGCAGCTGTTGTTAAAGCACAGAAACAGGAAGGGAAACTGTAATGAGGAATAAGATTTTAAAGAATCACCATCGCAAAATAAACAAAACATGAAATAAGCAGAAAAAGTTTGGTGTAATTGAGGATACCCAAGGAAAGAGTAGAAGCAAGAACAGTTTTAGAACA